CATCCCAGTCTCTCTTGTCTTTGTCGGCAACACTATCGACCAATAAGGGTTTGTTGATATGGTCAGTAGTTACGGAAGGTAGTCGGGATTAGAAGTTTGATTTAGACATGAAGCCAACTTTAATTTCCTGGCTCTAATACTGAGCGCCAATCCCATATCTTAATTCCCGAAAGCAGCCTATTCTTAGCTTTCCAGCCAAGCCGCGAACATTGTTTTTCGTTTTTGAAAAAGTCAGAATTCCGGAACAAGAATTATATTTAATGTTTTGCTCACCGAAATAAATTTACTGATCGATAAAATCAGTATACGATCCAACAAAGGAAAGCCGGCCCAGCTGTCCGAAACGTCAGCAGACCAACAAATTTATTCCGGTAAGAAAAACATGAACTATAGTTTTTCATAACGCAACCTCCACAGCTGTTTCAGTAAAGGCAGGCCAGCGCAGTCATGACTACTGAAATCGTTTCAGTAGCCTAAAATAATGTAGCCCCCACGTGGAGCGACAGGACCACTTGGGTTCAATGCAGCTGTATCGCGCCCTCACGCAACTGTGCTTGCAGCTGATTAATTTGCTATTAAAACTTGCGTAGTAGTTGAAGCTTTCCTGACCAATTTGACTTTAGGATGCCACACAGATATTCATAACGGCTAACTGTGGCAACGCGAATATCTGAACGAGTCTCAGCAGTAAGGAGGGCTTACGCCAACCCGCCGACTGCGGCCAATTTGACGCAGCTTAGTCTCGTCAGCAAGTCGGCGTAAGAAGTTGCAAGCGCGCGAGTTACGAGCTGTTTGAGTAGCGGTTTCGCATTTGCAGTACATCAACGGGTACAATGCTTTCTCTCCTCCCCCTGTTTGGAGCGTACAAATTCCACGAGCGAAGTTACTAGTCATGCTGAGGGCGGGCGGATAAACACTGTTCCCACTGGCAGTACTGCTAGGGTAAATTACAATTCAAGAATCATCATAGTCAACACTGGTTACGCAATGACGATTATTAACCATTAGAACGCCCGTGACCAAGCTATCACCTAACCGAAGACAACCGTCTTCAATGACCGTAAGAGCTGCTATTATTTATCATCCAGGTATTCTCTAATGATCAAATCTTATGAATCTTATACCTTCTTTGTGTTTATTACTTCTTTCTATGGAGGGCTCCCATGGCATTTCAAAAGTTCGGGTTAATAAAATTAGCATTTCAACATAACTGTGCAAATCATGCAATTTGGTTCCGATAC